CTACTACTGCAGCGCTCCTCCAGAGTGCTGCTGCCGAATCCTGAAGACTGCCTCCTGCCTCCTGCTCGTGAAGTGCCTGGGGGAAGTTCCTAGGAACTACCTCGTGACTCCCTGCAGCCTGTAGGGCGGGCCAGTCTTATATAGTGCTGGCCTGTCCAGGGGGCTGCTCTTGCCAATGCCAAAACGTGCCAGACCCTGGCGTTGAAGTTCAAACAAGGGTTGTCTTGAAAACAGGCCAAAAATGGCCTGTGCTAAAACCCTGGTCTGGTGCCTAAGTTTCAGGGCAGGTCGATCTTATGAGGGCCTGAAAATGGCCCTCCGTTTCAGGCTGAAAAGACTCAGGGCCTGGAGGGCCCTGTTTTAGGCTGAAACGACATAGGGCCTGTAGGCCCTCGTTTTCAGGCTTTCAGGCTGAAAACGACACAGGGCCTGTAGGCCCTTGTTTTCAGGCTTTTAGGCTGAAAACGCTGGTCGGGCCCTGCTGGCCCGTGTGGCTGCGCAGTATGCCACACCCCCCCCACCTTGAAAGACCGAGCTTACCTGCGAGGGCGAAGCTGTCTGTCTGAGGGAGGGACCAAAGTCCGGGTGGGAGGGGCAGGTCGTGAACCTCCCTTAGCTAACCTTTGTCGTTCGTAGTGAGCGTAGATCAGCGGTGCAGATGCTTTCAAATCTGCTCCTGAAATTCATCGAGTGTCGTCGGGATCGCATGCTCTGAAGGTAACTTTGTACTGTCGAGGCTTGCTGCTGTACTTGTGATCCGTGATGACGCGGTCAACTTCCTGATGACCATCCATAGATGGAGGGTCTTGCGATCGTCGGCCCAGGAAGTTGTTGCTCTTAGCTGGTGTATATGTCGCCAGCTTCGAGGCGCGAAAGACTGGATGGACCGTCAGATGTGGGGGGATGTTGATCACAAATGAGGGGTCATCGGGCTCATCGCCCGCGGCTGATGTTACGGGCCATGGTCCAAACCACTTGGGAAGCAGTTTGCGCGAAACATCCTGTTTGAGTGCAAACTCTTCCGTGGAGACCCACACCAGATCACGGGAGCGGATGGGACATGGCACGTGACGCCTGTAGGCTTGCTGCTGCATTCGGACTTGAGCCTTTTGCATGTTCATGCGGGCTTGAGCCAGCAATTCCCTGTACTTCCAGACGGAAGCGGGGGAGCAAGCAGTGTCTATGTCGGCTGTTCGTGGGAGGAGAAGATCAGCAAAGATACGGTCTTTCCGACCACCGTGGTGCAACTCGAATTAAGTCACGCCGATCGCCAGATGCAACCAAGTGTTGTAGGCGAACTCGATGTCGGGGAGGTGGTCAACCCAATCCTTATGATCAGGACGGATGAGCGTACGAAGCATCATTTGAACGGTTTGATGTGCCCGCTCCGTTTGCCCGTCCGTTTGTGGATGCCGAGCCGAACTTGGTTTCATCTTGGTGACGAATTCCTGCATGAGAGAAGTCCAGAATGCTGACATGAAACGAGTATCGCGGTCACTGACGATGTCTTTCGGTACGCCATGGCTGCAAATCCAGCCGATGTGCAAGAGGCGCGCAAGTTCGCGAGCCGTGGCGTAGTACGTGCAAGGGAGAAATCGCGTGTACTTACTCAAACGGTCAACGACCGTGAGGATGCCGTTGTGCCAGAGGCGATCACGGGGAAACAACAATGGAGAGGCCGGGTTCCCATGGGATAGGCATCGTGCGCAACTCGCCGTAGGGATTGCGGTTGTGGGGCTTGCTTCGTCGGCAAACTTTGCAAGAGTCATAATACTGAGTGACATCGGTAATGAGGTCGGGCAGAATCGTTGTCGAAGTCGTGCAATAGTGCGATTGACTCCGAAATGGCCGGCGAGTCGCGAGTCATGGTACTCACCGAGAAGGCGAGTCCGAAGACGACGGTCTCGTGGGACACACAATAAGTCCTTGCCTCGCGAGTGGAGGAGCAAGCACCCGTCGATGATGCGATAGTGGCTGGCCGGCGGGTGATCCGAAGATAGCTCCGCATACAACGTGGCGAAATCCGGATCAGACTCATAGCCCCGGATGAAGTGTCGATGGAGTTCCTCGTCGAATGTGGAGGCATGATGTGTCATAGCGCAAAGATCGGGTCTTCACGAGAGTGCATCTGCTGCACGATTGGAGAGGCCGGCGAGATGTTTCGGTGTGAAGTCAAATTGGTCGATGAAGTACATTCATCGTCCGATCGTGCTGCTCACCGTATCCTGCGTCTTGTAGTAGGTCAACGGGTTGTTGTCCGTGACCCATGTGAACCTACGATGCCCAAGGAGGAAGTGTCGCCATCGCTTGAGATCCATTACGAACGCGAGCAGCTCCTTCTTCCTTGCATCATCAAGTGAATTGATGGGAGACACTTTGTGGCTGAAATACTCTACGGGGTGCCAGTCGTCGCCGTCGCGTTGTTCCAAGGCTGCCCCAATGCCATAGCCGGAAGTGTCAGTTGTCACTCTTGTTGGCAGGGTGGGGTCATAGATGCTAAGGACGGGTGCCATGAGCATGGTCGTCTTGAGTACTCGGAATGACCGGCGTGCGCTGTCATCAAATACGAATGGCACCTTTGGCGATTGTAATCTCGTCATAGGTGCGGCAATTCTTGAGTACCCGGTGATGAAGCGTTGATAGTAGCCCGCCAACCCCATGAATGAGCGAACATCCGTGGTGTTGGTGGGCTCGGGCCATACGCGGATGGTCTCGATCTTGTCCGCAAGCGGACAGATGCCTTGCGGCGTCATAATGCCCCAAGTACTCAAGCTCTTGCCGCGCGAATTCGCATTTGTAGCGGTTGGCTTTGTACTTGGCTTGTAGTAGCCACTCCAAAACGGTGCGCAGGTGCTCCACATGCTCGTCCAAACTCCGACTGTACACCAAGATGTCGTCGAGGTAGATGAGTACGAATCTATCCAGCATGTGTCAGAACTTCGTTATCATAGCCGCTTGGAATTTGGTCGGGGCATTCGTAAGGCCAAAAGGAATAACCAGCCATTCGAAATGCCCATTTCACGTCTTAAACGCGGTCTTGTAGCGGTCCTCCTGCCGGATCTCGAGTTGGTGATATCCCGATTTGAGGTCAAGCTTGGAGAAGAACTTGGCGCCGCCCAGCTGTTCGAGGAGGTCGTCGATGCGCGGAAGAGGGCCGACGTTCTTGACGGTTTGCGTGTTGAGTTTGCGATAATCGATGCATAACCGCAAATCCTTGTTCTTCTTCTGGACGAAGAGAACGGGAGCACCGTATGGCGAAGAGCTAGGCCGAATTCAGCCTTTCTCGAGAAGGTCGTCGAGTTATGCTCGTAGCACACTTAACTCTTCCTCGCTCATGCGGTAGATGCAACCACGCTGAGGTACGGCCCCGGCCTCGAGGATGATCTCGTGGCGGATGGGCCGATCCGATACTACTCCGTGCGGGGCTTCGAACACGTCGCCATAGGTGTCGAGAAGCTTGGTGATGCGTGGGTCCGGTGATGAGTCCGTCGATGGAATGTCATGGGGCGGGAGGGGTTGGAGAAAACACACCCCCATCTCCTCGATGTCATCCCTGATGATGGAAGCTCGAATGCTTGCGGCGGATACCATGTGGCAGCTGATCAAAGGGTGAGGAGAAGGCTCCGTGCATGGGACTAGTACTCCGTTTCGATCACGAACGTGAACGGTGCGGCGGTAGAAGTTCACCGGGTGATCCTCGCTTCGCAGCCATGACATGCCCAAAATCATGTCGAACTTGGTGTCCAAAATGTCGAAGGACACGGCCTCGCTTGCATGCAGGGCAAAATACACGGGGACGGCATCAATGCACCGGTCGATTGACTTGTGTGTGTGACCGTCGGCCAACGTGACTTGCGTGGGTTGCGACTTCCTCCGAACGCGTGGCCCAAGGCCAGCGCGTACCATAAAGTTTTGGCTCATGTAGTTGCGAGTAGCTCCACAATCGATCAAAGCGCTGCAGGTCGCCTCTCCGATCTGAATGCGTATGTATAACAATGGCACGTCGATGTCGTCGTATCGTTGTGTCTTAAACTCGCAACGTAGTCGTGAAGGTCGGCAACCTCTACTCCGGCGTCCATCAATGGAGCTGGTACTGCAGTGTGCAAGTAATCCCGCAATTGTGTCATGAACACGTTGCAATGCGGTTTCGGCAATCGACCGGACGGGGGAAGGGGCATCCATTGGAAGTCCGCGAACGTCAACGGGTCGAGCTCTTCAAGTCTTGACCATGACGTCGAATCCCCGACGATAGATGACGGCGAAGCTGCCGAATTGGTTGCCGATGGTGGTGAAACCGTGCATGCGGTGGATTGTTGCACGTGGAGTGGTTGGTCCAACGGTGGGACCAAGTGGACAGCATAATCCTCATAAGTGAACCGAGGACTTGCGACATTCGCATCCTCCCCAGATGTGTAGGAGGCCGCTAGCAAGGCGGTCGAATCTGGCGGAGTGAGAGGTGGAGTCGCCTCACCCCCCGTGCAACTTGGTTTCTTGAGTTGATGCGAGGCCGAACGTCCTCCTTGCCTTGATCCGGGCATTGGGAGGTCTTGTGCTTGMCCTGTTGCACCAATAGCAGCAGCCATATCGTCCACGCCACTTGTATTCGGCCTTGGTCAAGTGAAACTTCACCCAAGGTGTTGGCTGTCCATTTCCGGCTGGCGATGCAGTTTTCGCCTTCCCTTTTCCTCGGGAGTTGTTGTTGCTTCGGGGCTGGACAGCGGCCACCTAATCTCCCTCATGTGATGATTGGGTGGCTGTCGGGTCTTCCACAATGTTGTCCGGTTGGACTGCAGCGACATGATGCGGACGCGGACCAAATTTTCCTTTCTCCACATAGGTTGGTTGCCACGCTGACTTCTCGTGTGCAGCCGCCCTGTTGGTCTTGACGATCTCCCTTGCCTCGTCGATGATTTCGGCAAAGGTCGTGTATTGCTCGCGGTCACCAAATGCGAGGCTCAAGGCCGCACATGACTGGTTGTAGAACTCCCGGCGCAGATGCGAAAATGGCGACTCGAGATCGGGCGTTGCAGCGATCTTTTGCCATTTCGTGAGCCAGTCGTGCGTCGATGTGTTGCCTTGGGTCATGGCGAAGAGGCGGTTGATGGTGAGCGTCGGGGCATTGTCCACGATGAACCGCTTCTTCCATAGCCTCGTCAACTCTTCCCAAGAGATCTTCTCATGTAGATCGACGACCTGGACACCGTGAATGGTTGCCAAGTGGCTGAGCCAGATGTGGCATCCGCCCTTTGAGTCGAGGAACAGCGCGTCGATGTACGAGTGCTCGGGGACGAAAGAATCCGAAGTTGCGTCGTAAAGCCCTCCCACCAGGGGACCGGGTCTTGATGCGTATAATCATCGAACTTTTCGATGCAGAATGTCGACATCTTGTAGTGCTGCTCACTGGTGTTGCCATCCTTGTTGGGCAGCTGGTGCAGTTGCTGAACCTCGGTCTTCAAGGTGTCCAGCTGCTTGCTGATGGTGGCTGGTGCAGCGAAGGTGATGATGTCGCCGAGCATGGCGACTACGTGGTCAACTCGTTCCTCCAATTGGCGGGTGGAGGGTGCACTGCTGGACTCGCCAGCATCCGGTCTTGGTGCAACTTGCTCCAAGTCCTGTGCACGGGAATCAAGTGGCCGTGTAGCATCCTCGTGCAGATCCTTGTCGTTCCGCACTGCCCGTCGGAGATTCGCCAGCTCGGACTGCAGGTGGTTACAAGTGTAAACCAACCGGGTCACGAGTTTGGCAAGAAACTCCTTGTGCTGCTCTTCCAGTGTCACGTCTTTGTGGTGCTCGGATGGTTCAAAATGCCAGAACTTGAGCTTTTTGATGCTGGCGGCTTCGTGCCGCTGTAGCAGATCCTGGGCCTCCTTGCGGCGTGCCTGGGTATCTACGTCTGCTTCGGCCTGAAGTCGCTGCTTTTCAGCTGCTGCTGCCGCTTCAGCTTGTAGGCGGGCAGCCTCGACTACCGCCTGACGCTGTTCCTCATCCTCGATCAGTGCGAGATGAGCTTGGAACCGCTGTTGGTACTCGGCAATGGACTCATTGGCCAGTTGGCCTGGCATGCCCAGAACTGAGACCGTCATGGTGGCCGGGCACTGCTGACGTGGCACTGCTGACATGGCACTGCTGACGTGGCACTGTTGCTGACATGGCACTGCTGGTGTGGCACTGCTGATGTGGCACTGCTGACATGGCACTGCTGACATGGCACTGCTGACATGGCACTGCTGATGTGGCACTGCTAACGTGGCACTGTTGCTGATGTGGCACTGCTGACGTGGCAATGTTCACGTGGCAATGCTGACGTGGCACTGCTGACATGGCACTGCACCAAACCGGGAATGCAGGCAAAGGGTTGGGTGGGAGGGAAACCGCAGGTAGGTAACCAACCAAACTATACTCTCCTCCCAGTCCTAATCAACAGACTAAAATAAAAATAAAAAATAGAAGAAGAGGATCACCCCCCCCCCCTTTTTTTTTTTGTATATCTGTGGATCTTCTATGAGTGAGGCATTTCAGAGGAGTGCTCTGAGCGAGAGCTAGACAAGGTTCCGCAAAGTTTCGGCTTCCGAAAAAATGCGATATTGGAAAAAAATAAAATTGTGTGCGAAATAGACTGGAGGTTCCACTTTCAGAGAAGAATAAATCCAGTCTCCGAGAATATGACCACCTCTGTCGTTATCCCAATATGCCTAGAAATCGAAATGCTAATATCCGAGATTTTCAGATAAAACGAAATGCTGCTATCAGAAATTTTCAGATAAAACGAAATGCTACTATCAGAAATTTTCAGATATTTCAAATGCTAATATCAGAAATTTTCAGATAAAACAAAATGCTACTATCGGAAATTTTCAGATATTTGTTGCGAGAAAGAAAAAAAAATTGCAGAGATTTGACGAAGTCCTACTTGATTTACTGATAAACAATCAATAGATCAAGCAAGCTGGCTACTTGATTGAGCGGGTCCTGTGATTGAGAGGTCCGCTCCGATACCAAACTGTCGCATACCGTAAAGATGCAGACCAGAACAAGAACCGATCGCTCTCACATAGTACAAGATAGCGCAGCGGAAGGCTAATATACCAATGATCCGAACAATCGATGTTGCCATGCAGACCAAACATACATCATCATCATTCCATGGTGTGAAGGGGCCTGGCGCTCACACAGGAAGAATGCGCCAGTCCCCAACCATGCACAGACGAAGAAGAGGAGGGTTTAGACGAAGAGGAGGGGAAGATGGGAATGTCATCAACACCAAGTCTTCAGTACAGGTCCCAAATAATCCCTCGTCAAATGTCTGAATCC